AGACTATTCTATAGTCCAAACTATAGACTACTCTATAGTCCAGACTATAGACTATTCTATAGTCCAGACTATAGACTATTCTATAGTCCAGACTATAGACTATTCTATAGTCCAGACTATAGACTATTCTGTAGTCCAGACTATAGACTATTCTATAGTCCAGACTATAGACTATTCTATAGTCCAGACTATAGACTATTCTATAGTCCACACTATAGACTATTCTATAGTCCAGACTATAGACTATTCTATAGTCCGGACTATAGACTATTCTATAGTCCAGACTATAGACTATTCTATAGTCCAGACTATAGACTATTCTATAGTCCAGACTATAGACTATTCTGTAGTTCAGACTATAGACTATTCTGTAGTCCAGACTATAGACTATTCTATAGTCCAGACTATAGACTATTCTATAGTCCAGACTATAGACTATTCTATAGTCCAGACTATAGACTATTCTATAGTCCGGACTATAGACTATTCCATAGAGTATTCTATAGTCCAGACTATAGACTACTCTATAGTCCAGACTATAGACTACTCTATAGTCCAGACTATAGACTACTCTATAGTCCAGACTATAGACTACTCTATAGTCCAGACTATAGACTACTCTATAGTCCAGACTATAGACTACTCTATAGTCCAGACTATAGACTACTCTATAGTCCAGACTATAGACTACTCTATAGTCCAGACTGTAGACTACTCTATAGTCCAGACTATAGACTACTCTATAGTCCAGACTATAGACTACTCTATAGTCCAGACTATAGACTATTCTATAGTCCAGACTATAGACTATACTATAGTCCAGACTATAGACTATTCTATAGTCCCGACTATAGACTGTTCTATAGTCCAGACTATAGACTATTCTATATTCCAAACTATAGGCTATTCTATATTCCAAACTATAGACTATTCAATACTCAAGACTATTCTATAGTCCAAACTATATACTATTATATAGTCCAATCTATAGAATATTCTTAACTTCGTTCGAATTGTTTGATTTTTTTTTTTAATTTAGAAATGGAATTTTAAAAATGTTATTTAAAATGTTGCAGTTTCATGTTAAAAACCACGCAGTTTTTACAATTAAAATTTATATACACAATCACTTTCAATAACAACCCATAAAAAACGAAAGACTTAAGCAACATGCACCGTTCAAATAACCAAACAATTATTTCAAAATAAATTGGTTGCAGTTTTTCAATCAATTTTTCTCCAGCCATTAACTACAATAAATCATGTCACTATCAGGTGAAATGCAAATTCAATCAACTTAAATATATTTAAAAAATATTTTTTACACTCACACACACTTATAGAAAAGAAAGTAAAAACGTTTTTAATTTCAATTTTTTTTTTCCTTTTTGCCAACCAAAAGAAAATTTTGCTTTAAAAATACAACATATTGTGGCGAAAATAAAACCAAAAAAACACACGCACAAATTCAATCAACGTTGACAGTCTGGTCAAGCAAAACTATAAAAAAACAGTTCAACCAAAACTGAACAGAAATATTAAAAAAACAAAGTCTAAAGAAAAATTTCAATATGTAGATGCATAAAAATAAATACAAAAAAAGAATATAAAATATACATACAATAAACCACAACAACAACCTACAAGACAAAGTAAAAGTTGTATGCCAAACAAAAAAAGAAACAATTTTTCATTATAATTATTATTACTGTTTTTTTTTTTTTTTTTCTTCTGCTGTCCGTCCATCTTTCTTTCACTTTTATCCAAAGTGTATACAAAAATGTTTAAAAGTAAAATGTTGAAAAAAATAAGAATCAATGAATTTAAACCCTTTACAGAGGAAATATTAAAATGGAAAACTTTCCATTTCATTACAAAATTAAATTGGTTTAACAAAAGAAAATAAGCCCAATATGTTTATGGTTGAGTTATTAGCCAATAAAAGTTTAAAAATATTTATGCCTAATAAAAATTTCCGTTTGTCTGTCAGTCTGTTTGATAAACGTTATTATAAGTTTTTATATCTGTTATTCAATATTTATAGTTTAATTGCACAATTTGTTTGATTAATTTTAAGCAATAAATGTTGATTAATGTAAAACTATACAAATGTAAATAATTAAGTTTTTAACTGCAGAACTATAAAAAATTATTGTTATTAAACTGCTTTACCTTTTTGTAATTTTTTCGTTAAATAAATCGTAAATCTAAATACCGATACTATCATCTTTTCATCATATCGTTTCACTATTATTTATAGCTGTAGCGCCGTTTAAGGGGCGCTTAGAATTCTTTAAATTTATAACGATCTCTATATATTGTTCCGCGCACTAATGTGAGGGGAGCCTTCAGCACTTCCTGGACTATACCGTTTACTCCTGGCACTTTACCAAGCTTGTCCTTTTGTCCACAGATGGAAAAAAGACGTTTTAAAATTATACACGCTTGGTACCAAATTGACACTAAAGCGTTTAATTATATCTATTGTCAAGTGTTAAATAACATGCATTGCCAGTTGTGAAATTAGTCAGAAGTCTATATTCGCCTTTGCAGATTCTTATACAGCCTTCACCATAGTGTGTTTAAGAAAGATTAGTTTTATAAAATTTCAATTTATTTCATTTTTCCCAATTCTACCATTACGTTAACAAAACAAACAAATAAACGAAACAAAATACACAAAGCAATGAAACCAACACACATCCAAACATACGTTTTTTCCAATAACCAATGTTGTTGTTGCTTTTTTCTCATTAGATCAGGGATGTATTTTTATGTAAACATATACAAAAAAGTGAAACAGCTGTTTCCATCTAACTTTGTTATTGTTTTATACCAATCGTGTAAACACAAAAAGTCATACGGATGGAATTTCATTTACTTTTTCATTTTCATGTGATCGTGTAAAGGGCCCTTAAGCATGCAAATAATTGTTTTTTTTATGAAATTTTCAGAGGTTGTCTCGGATTTTTGCTCATATCTCCGTTATGTATGAACGGGTTTTACTAATTTTACTAAAACTTCTCGAAAGCATGCCTGACAGAATTATTGAAGATTTGGATCCCGAAGATATCTAGGATCTTCAAAAACTTGATTTCAACAGACAGACAGAGAGATAGACACTCCGACGTTTATGGCTTAATGGACTCCGTTATCTAAAAGGATCCAGAATATATTAATAATATACTTGACAGGGTCGGAAAATTATATTGTGGAAATTACAAACGGAGTGACAAATTTATATATACCATTCTCACGATGGTGAAGGCGGCGGCTAACTACCAAAATTAAAAAAAAATTTCATAATATTAATTTGTTTATATGGAATATCTTTTCGGAGTGAAAACAATGTGTTATAAAAGCGACAGCGCTATGATGTCAAGCACAACGTTGCGTTGTCGAAATGATAACGATGCGTTGTCGAAATCACTACGATGTATTGCCAAAATGACACAAAGCGTAATCGAAATGACAAAATGCGTCGTTGCAATGACAACGATATGTTGTCAACATTACAGAGGAAGTTGTCAAAATGATTTTATACACACATAAAAAATGTGGTAAGCTCACTTTTGACAACAGATTGTATCAATTTCGGTACTTTTCTACCTGGTTTTTCCCTCTGTGTAATTGTTCCAAAGAATAGATAATATATTGACTATCTACACAAAATCATCAGATATATGTATATCTAAAAATATAAGATTTGTTATAATTTTAATAATATCAACTACATTTTAGAACTATTTTACTGGTTTTAATGGACCGATGCTCGTAAAATTTTGTAAGAAGATTTCAGTCGAATATAACATTACTATAACACTATAGAGGGGAGGGTATTATGCGTTTATGCTGATGTTTGTAACACCCAAAAATATTGGTTCAACACCCACCTTAAAGTATACCAATCGTCTCAGAATCACTTTCTGAGTTGATTTAGCTATACCCGCCTGTGTAAACCTTGTGTGCACGCTACAGGTCACAATCTTCAAGATAATTTAATGAAATTTGTCCAATAATCTTCTTCAGACCCAAGAGCCTAATTAAAATTGATCCATTATTTCGCATAGTTCCCATAAGTCTTAATGATACTGCTGATTTTCGTAATGAGCGGGCCTCATTTGACCCTATCCCTGACATAAAGTCCCCTTTAGTAAATTATTTGATGGTCAAAATTCACTTAAAAACACTAACCTAATAACAATTGGATCCTATAAAATGAATTTAAAAAATGTTGAATCATACAAATCTGCACAAGATTTAGACATTAGTTTCACACGTTACGCTAAAAATAGCAGATTTATAATGCATATACTTATGTATATAAATACATACAAATACTACTTACATTTATGTTTAAATATTACGATTATATTTTAACTATTACGAAAATTTTGTGAAAAAAAATTTTAATGCATTTTATAAACCGGTTGAATTACATTTATCTACGAGTAAAAAAGTCTATTTATGTTAAATGTAGTTTGAATTTATTGTTGCGTTGTGTTTGGGGCTGTACCGGCATATGAATGTGAATGGTTACGGGTATTACCCAATTTTTGTCTTCAAATCTTAAACTGAATGTTGAAATTATTAATATTTTTTATTTCTAACATGTGTCTGCAAATGTTTAATGGAAATTTAATGAGATTATAAAAAAGAGATTATTACATTTAAAGTAAATTTTCCTAAAGCAGTTAGATAATAGTTGGATGATAAGCAAAATGTTTCTAGGAAAGTGGGAGTGATTGTTAGAGAGTTAATGATGAATTTTGATATTTTAGATATGATTAATCGGATATGGGGTAATTTAATTAAATTACAAATGTAGCCGAATGTAAGAAAAGTAAATGAATATTAAGATATTTTTCTAAATAAATACTTTCGATTTTTTGTTTTAAATTAAATTTTTATGCAGGAAATTTAGGTTCAATATAAACTAATTTAAATTCAATAATTTCCACCATTTTAATTCAAATATTTATCTCGTTATTTCATTTCAGGGTAATTTAATATTCCTCCTACTTTTTGCTCACACGATCGACGAGACTTCTTCGTTTGGTTTCGATTCGGCAACATCATGTAGCCCGAATGCAAAACAATCCAGAAGAGGACGTGCTCAAATGTTAGCCGCCATACCCTGTGATCTTACAACACAAGCTTATTGTAATCTACCAGGAGCAGCTTATCCATGGCACGCTGTACGACGATTCGTTCACGAAAATCAGGGTCTAATGAAACGAATGTATGGCGATGTCCGTCATATATCAGTACTACGAGATGAAATCATCAACAATGAAATCGATGTCGAAGATATAGAGTTGGCTGCGGAGCGATATTCCCGAGATGGTTATAATCGCAGAGCTTCAAAGTTCATGCATAATCGAGAAGATTTTGAAAATTTCAAATCGAATGATGTGCTAAGAGAACCTCACTTCAGACCAGTCACTACAACTACCACCACTACTACAACAACCACAAAATCGCCAGTAAGCACAACTGAAAAACTAGAGACTACCACCGATAACAGTGAATTAGAAAAGACTACCAACTCCGAGACCGAAACAAAATTGAATCCTTCCAATATTAATAACACCAATACCCATGAGTTAAATCAGAAACTGGAAAATAATTTCAAATCAAAATTATTGCAAATTGAAGAAGATCCAGAATTAACTACAAAAACCGATTTGGAAAAAGACTTAGAAGATGGTGACACCACAGTTGAGGATGAAGAAGACGAAGATGTTAATATTGAATTTAATAGTGTATATGAAACCCCCAATGAAACTATATCTCCAGAAAAAACTTCAGGCGATAATATAGAAATTGTTGATTCTCCACAATTGGGTTTAACTAATATAACAACCGATTCCAGTGTACATTTAACAACAACTACAAAAACAGAAAGCACTACCTCTTCCCCCATTACAACGACAACTACTAAAACCACAACTACTACTATTAAACCCGAAACTGTAGCCGAAAGAGCTCCATCCAAACAAAGAAAACCTTTCATACCCTCTTCACAACGTCAAAGACCTTCACAACATTTACACAAAGTCGATTCTACCATATCGGCTAAATTGAAATTAAAAACAAATCCCACATCAGCCTCACCTTCTAGAATAACTACCACAACTTTAGCCAGCACCTCTAATAATGAAACTAAAGCTTCGGATATCTCATCCTCCACTACACCTCTTACCTCTACCAAAACATCACCTTTTAAAAGTCATCTGAATAAAAATTATAATCGCTATACTACTCATAATAATCGTTATGCTTTACCCACTACCTCACCGCCAGGCCCACAGTTATTAACACCTACTGTACAGCCGTTTAAATCGAATCCAGAACTCTTATTGGGTGAGAAGATAAGAAAACCTGTTGCAAGTGCCACACCATCGATAAGTGCAGCTGGCTTGGCCTCTAATAAGCCGGTGCTAAAGGATAGTCAGTTATTCCAGGATACTATGAAACAAGAAGCACCTGCTCCGCCGGTCAACGCAAGAGGAGTGTAAGTATTTTCTTTAATGCAGAACATAATTATTATACTTTTAGTTCAGATCTATCTATAACACAAAACTCTTTCGTCATTTCCGAAATTTCCCATGTTACCTATTAACATTCTAATAGTAGTTATACTTTGGTAGGAAAGTTTACAGTAACTTTGAATCCTTCCAATATGTTAACAATATTGAGAAGCACTAATTGTACACTCGTAAATATTGATAATTGCTTTCCTCTCTCGAATCAGAATAGGAAATAAGTTAGAGAGTAGGAACTATATGTACCCATTCAAAACAGACACCTAAGACCACTTGATTGATTACAAATCAGACTTAGCGACTTGACGAATGTTGTATTTGATCCTGCTGAGGTTCTTAAGAGAATGTCACAGATTGGTAACAGCTATGTTGGTGTAATAGTTGGTTTGATCCCTCTTTTTTAAAGAGAAACGAGGAAAGAAGAAAGTGTGATATGAGAGTATGGAATAAATAAATGAATAGAGACTAGAATTTCAGAGAAAGAGGGAGTAAAATGAGAGTCTTAGACTCAAAAGGTAATATTAGTGCAGTCGGGGGCTTTATAAACATGTCAGGAACTTGATTTCGGTAAAAATTAGGATATCTCTAAACGATATCTTATCAGTTTGCTGTTCTCTTTATGGCTGATATCTCGGCCTCAATTGGACTACTGATTGTGAAAGTAATCCTAAAATTTCTCTGGATGATGAGTACGATTATGTATCTATTGCATTCAGTCTGAAAGCAGTTGCGAGTGCAATTTTTCTGGCTAATAGGTCTGTTGGAGGCCAGTTTAGCAGCGTAAATAGGGATTTCGTTGAAGTTTTTTCCAGTGATCAAATTATTAAAAACGACATTGTTTTCACGACTTTATCAAGAAGTTTGCAGTTAGAGTTTGAGTTAAGCGTTTGATAAAACTTTTCGATATTTGAAAGATTGATTAGTGCATTAGCATTCGTTTTAACATCGAACATGGGCTCCTAATTGTACAAAATAGTGGCTCGATGTATCTATCGTATTCGTATCGGAATTAGTAATATAAAGGATTGGTTCCTTTGTCAATAACATAATATGTTGTACCATGACTACAAAAAAATCTAATTATTTGCAGTTTTTTTCAATTATTTTCAGAAATATAATTCAAAATGCCTATTTGTATATTTTTAACATATTTTTCTTCACTTACAGTAACGCCTGCCCAGTAAAAGAAGAAGTGGTCGCTCCATTTTGGGCCAACAATACACGAGGTGAAGTTTTGGCTCTACTCAATCTTTATCCATTCGAACAGTATGTACACTGGGAAAAATGTACCCACGAGCATAAACAAATGTATTGTCGTGAAGGTTGTCGCTGCGAGCAACAATATCGGCTACATCGTCTATTGGCCTACGATCCTCATAACGAATGTCGTGGCATATTTTCGGATTGGTTTAGATTCCCCTCATGCTGTATCTGCAAGTGTTATAATATACCGCTAGACTTTAGGGCCACTTCCAGATCGCCACGTTCAGAAAGCGGTACCAGTGATTACCGACATCCCATAGAAGTGGCCGAAGAACAAGTGAAAAATGCAATTTATGAACATGCCACCGAAGAATGGTATCGGCCAAAAGATGAATTTGATTTTTATGAAGGATAAATTAGAATTCTAAACATTTTTTAATGTTTTATATTTCAAGTAAATTGTATTGTTTTAATTATAATAATAATTATTATGTTTTATGCAATTGTTGTGTTAAACTTTTTTTATTTAAATTTTATTTTTTCTTTGTTTTTGTAAACTAGTCGCAAAATTTGTTGTTATTTATTATGATTATTTTATATTATTAAGTTATATGTATTTAAATATCGACATTATGTTTTTGTAAATATAGTTGAGCATAATGTTTTCTTTAGCGAAGAACATACATAATTACTGAGCGTTTGTACCTTGAAAATACTTTAAAACTTTGCGCGAAAGCCTCCCTCCGACCTGAAGGAGCTAAAGTTTTAAATTGTTTAGCATAATTTTTTCACATTTTTTATTAAAGTTATTGTCACACATTAAATTGCCATAACAATTTATTTATAATTATGCATTTTTTTTATTAAATTATTTAACGCATTTTCAAGTTCATTTTTTAAAAATTAATTTATAACATTTTTTATATGTATTTGTATAACTTTTAGTAGTAATTTCTTGTAAATATAATTTTTGTAAACTTTTTTACTTTATAAGGCTAGTGATAATGAAATTTTGTTATATAAGCTTTTTAATGATATACACATTTATATTCTATCTATTCTTTTAATGTGTATTTATTACATAGATTTTTTTCTTTTTAAATATTATTTATATATCACTTATATTTAATGTGCAAATACTTATTGTCTATTATTATTTTAAATGTTAATTTTTTTCTTAATAAAATTTTGAATATAATTATTATAAAAATATAAATATTGCTTGATTTTTATTTAGGAACAACTAGTTCTATAATAATATCTGATCTTTTTCTCCACAACAGAATTACTTACTGTGTAAAGTAAGTTGCTGTATACGGATCTGTCACACATTTGATTTTTATACCCTACACCACTTTAGTGGGGAGGGTATATTGGGTTTGTGCTGATGTTTGTAACGCACAATAATATTGGTCCTACACCCACCTTAAAGTATACCAATCGGCTCAGAATCATTTTCTGAGTCGATTTAGCTATGTCCGTCCGTCCGTCCGTCTGTCCGTCTGTCCGTCCATGTAAACCTTGTAATCAAAATACAGGTCGCAATTTTGAAGATAATTCAATGAAATTTGGTACATGATCTTCTATTGTCCCAGGGACGAAGCCTATTGAAAATGGTTAAGATCGGTCCATTATTTCACCTAGCCCCCATACAACTGAACCCCTCGAATAGGGCTTTTAAAACTTGTAATCAAACTACAGGTCGCAATTTCGGAGATAATTCAATGAAATTTAGCACATGATCTTTTATGGTACCGAAGACGAAGCCTATTGAAAATGGTTAACATCGGTCCATTATTTCACCTAGCCCCCATACAACTGAACCCCCGAATAGGGCTTTTAAAACTTGTAATCAAACTACAGGTCGCAGTTTTGAAGATAATTCAATGAAATTTGGCACATGATCTTTTATGGTACCGAAGATGAAGTCTGTTGATAATGGTTAACATCGGTCCATTATTTCACCTAGCCCCCATACAACTGAACCCCCGAATAGGGCTTTTAAAACTTGTAATCAAACTACAGGTCGCAATTTTGAAGATAATTTAATGAAATTTGGCACATGATCTTTTATGGTACCGTAGATGAAGCCTGTTGAAAATGGTTCACATCGGTCCATTATTTCACCTAGCCTCCTTACAACTGAACCCGCCGAATAGGGATTTTAAGTTCCTAATTATGTTTAATATACTCATATCTCGACAAAAAGCTGCAATAACCAAGTTGTATACAAGACTTGATGACACCCACGAATTCCATAATAATAGGTTCTCATATGACCCTAGCCCCTATGAAAAGCCCCCATCAAAATTTCACTTAAATGTCCACAATTTTATTCAACAATAAACGGCTTAAGTATGTATATCTAAGGCAAGGTACAATTCAACTTAAATGCTTTATTATGGCAACTAAATCACATTATATTTTTGTCAAAGGTGTAGGGTATTATATGGTCGGCCTCGCCCGACTATAATTTCTTACTTGTTAATATTAAGGAGATTCAATGTAGGAGAACCATAGGCAGGAAATGGGGTCTTAGTCCTACTATGAAACTCTGGCTTTATATTAGTGTTATCAGAGCAATTCTAACTTATACTTCTTTGGAGATTCAATGTAGGAGAACAGGAAATGGGGTCTTAGTCCTACTATGACACTCTGGCTTTATAATAGCGTTATCAGACCAATTCTAACTTATACTTCTTTGGACAAAAAGTGTGATAGCAAACTACTACAGAGAGTTTAGTGTCATTTTGCATTAAGATATGAGACGATACTATCGAATGGCTCACAACTTTAGGTGAACTAATCAAAGACGGTTATAGAACACGCCATCAATGTATACTGGACACATTGGAAGGCTATACACAAACATCGGACACCACCAGACACAGAATATGTTGGGAACTATAGAGTGTCATGGTCAAGCGGAACATTACACAAGTGACTCTAGTCGCAACACTCCAAGCAATAACGGAATGCGTAAATAGGATTAGAATAGACATGGCGCCAATAGGGCATAACATATTTTCCGACAGCCAGAAAACAAATGGACGATTTCAGGTGATAAGACCGTATTGGGTTGTAAGAGTGCTTTAACCTAATACTCTCTCAGTGGTAAGCTTTGCATCATTCGAAACAATTAGGGCCGAATTAAAAATATGGTCGAGATAATCCCATAAGGCCTCTTGGAGTAATGAAACGGTGGCTAGAGCCACAAAGACATTGATGAATTGTGCGTTCCGGTGAATGGTTATCTCCACGAACTATATCAGTTCTTGCCTGTGCGTAACCTGCAATTATTACTAGCGAAGTCGTCAACAACACTTTTCAACACCAGGACGAAGGAACCCTTGGCATCGTAATCGATGGAGTCCAATTTCCGACAGTACACCACCCAAAAATCCACTTGACTTCCTCAGCTTACGCCATTGCAATCAAGCACAAATTTCGAAATAGAAACAAGGTGCTCAAAGCGCTAGCTAACAGCACTTGGGTTATGGATAAAGAAACCTTGTTAGAAAACGAAGGTCCTCCCAGTCAAGGAACACAATGACTAAACAGTTCCTCCAGGGATATCATCGGTGGGGTCATCCCAACTTTAAAATCACACAGTTGGTTACTCCCCCGATGTCGTCGGAGAGGTCATCCCAACTTTAACATCATACAGTTGGATACTCCCCCGAGGCATGTCAGGAAGAATCTTCGTACGAGGAAAACATACGCAGATATGTGCAGAATCTATTAGATCAGTCCTTGTATACGGCACCTTTGAACGACATTCATAGAGACGCCATAAATTCCGCAGCCGCAGGATACCGCTTGAACGTCGTACTTGGAGGTCGCCCACCGCCCATAACCATAGACACAGAATAAAACCTGCCGCGGAAAACAAGAGTAGTTCTGGCACAACTAAGATCGAGATGGAGCAACAGGCTTAAGGCCTATTGGTCACGTATATACCGTTACGTACCCAACGAATGTCCTTCAAGATCCTCATGACCCCACCACATATTCAACCGCTCTGCCAACCGCCCCCGGGCATATTTCCTTGATATCAGACCGCATCTTGGTGTATTGCAATCCGGGGGTAGATAGGTGCTACCAATACCTGTAGTCTTCCGGGACTATAAATTGGAGTTGACAATTTACTGCCTGGCCTAGTCCTTGCATAAATTGGAAAGAGGTCTAACCAGAGCACTACGGGTGGCCAGTTGCCCACAGGACTTATCCTGGCTGGTCAATTGGTTGAGGTTCCTTCGGGATCCATGTAGTGGCTGTGGTTGAAACCTAAATCGAAGGAAGGGGGTGCTTGGTTAAAAGACTGATACACGGTGAAATATAAATTTTCAAGATACATTTCTGTTATCGTTCCTAGATGCAAGGAGTGGTACAAATTACAGATCATGACTGTGGATTAATAAAATGTTGGAATTGAGCTGATAATGCAAAGATTGGGTAAACGAAGATGAACGATGTTTCTGATGTCTACTTTGATTCTATAGAGAGAATGGAGTGATTGATGGATTCGACAGATGTGTGATGGTGTAACGATGAACAAAAACAGATCTGGCAAAAGGGGAAGGATGATATATTGCAAGGTCGTCACTGCACTTTCTTTAATTTATTAGCGATTTTCCAACATGGTTTAATGCATGCTCAAGTTATCACAGTGGGTCTTTGCAGCCACTGAAATGAAGTTTTGTCAATTAATATGATATGTGTTTCGGACTACCAATTACGTCCCCTAGGTGCTGTTGCCGAATCAACAGAGCCATAGTAGTGTGGTTGGGCGACATTATGTCGGGGTATATTGACATTATGTCGGGGTATATGTCGGTTATATGTCGGGGTATATGTAGCACATTCTTTGTCATTGTCAGGCATTTGTCGAAATTAAAACATAACATAACATCCCTTACGAATACTGATTGGAAAAATCATAGAAATTACGTTTAGGAAACTGAGTTTCTGAACATTGTTTTTTTTTTTTACCAACAAACATTTTCCATAAAAAGGACCGTACAATAGGCCCGATAGTGGCCAGGGTGTATTTCTTCGGATTTGATGTAATATGCATCCTCTTATCATCCAAACCTGCGTAGGATCATAATCTTGCATTAGATTTTATGTATCACATCACGAATTATCGTGTTTAGGAGATATCGTCTTCTACTGTTTGAAAAAACATCATTTTTTGGAGATATTTCAGACAGCGCAAAAACTTTAGTCCTTAAGTCCAATTTATCAACGTTAAAATCAAGGTTTAAACCATTATTTTAAAATCTCATTATATGGCCAAAAACTGGGGGTTTACAAACTTAAGGGCACAATATCTTCAAAACCTGATGTGATAAAGAAATTATATATAATTCGGATTTAGCGCAGCTTAACCCTTTAAAAACCAGGGAAATTGACCATAGATACGTTTAAACGATAATACCTTTTCATTTTTGGTAAGAAGTACCACGCCCACTATTTTAATTCCGCCCATTTTGATATAAACTAGTTAAAATGAAAATAAAATTGCTCGTGTACAGCTTTGGGCACAATTTAATCTAGATATTAATTAAAAATATAAATTTTAAGAGATGTCATGTCCACTATTTGTATCCTGTCCATTTTTATTTGCACTAAATGAAGTAATAAATTAATTCATATAATGTCTTATCACTTAAATATGTATTCGATAATGGGATATGCAAAGCCCACTTTTTGTGAAGATTGTGGTATACGACCCCCTTATAACTAGTGAAAGACAGGATCAATCTTTATCCCCTGGTTTCGGGTACTTTTCTACATCAATTTCCTTCATTTAATAGATCAAAATTAAAATTAAATCTATTTCATTAAAAAAACACTTAATTTTTATTTATATTTAAAAATGTTTATTTAAAAAAAGTATTTCTTGTAATTGTATAAATATTAGGTTACATTTTGTTTATTTCAATATATAAAAACATCAAATATATATATTTATAGTTTTGTTTGTAAAATGTAAATAATTAAAAATATTTAATTTTTATTTAAATAGAACCCTGTAACCCAGATTATATGTGTTGTGTGTATATAGGATATATATAAAGAAAAAAATATATATATTAATATAAAATTTTATTATTATTGTCTATTACAAAAGATTTTACAAAAAATTTAACAATTTTCAATTGTTAATTGGAAAAATAAACACTTAAAGGCACTTAATTTACATAAGTTTTATCATAAGTTTTTTTTTTAAGAAAATAAAAATATTTATTTTGAAAATACATTTAATAAGTAGTAGTTGTTGTAATAATAGTAAATAAGCTACAAGAAAAAAAAAAATCACTTAAAATAATAAAAATTTAATAAATACAACAAGAGAAAAAGAAAAAAAGGCAAAGCAAACATATTATAGCTAAAAGTTATAAGACACACTGTATATAAAGAAAAGAAAATGCAACTTAAGCTGTTAAACAATAAAGAGAAAATATTCAAAAATATATTAAAGCATAAAGTGTTTATTTAAAAATAATAAAATGAAAATACTTTTCAATTAAAGCGCTTAGTAGAAGAAAAAAACAAATAAAACGACACAAAATTAAGAGAAAAAAAAAAGAATACTAATAGTAAAAAAATTCAAGTTTGTTTTTTTTTATATATAAAATTAAAGTAAGGCTAAGTAGCTTAAACAAACACATTTTGCAGTTTCCTTAAAAAGCAAAACAAAAAAATATAAAAATAAAATACTTATTAAGCTTGTGTTAGACAGCAATTTAAAGTTAAAAAAAAATAAACATACATCTCAATGTATATATATAAAAAAATAAAATAAATTACAGTATAGTTTAATGTGCGCACAGAAGACAAATAAAATTAAAAATAAAAGAATACTATTTATATTCCATTTATGTTTTAGAAGATATTTATATATGTATATATTGTCGCTTCGTTGTTTGTTATTAGTTTTTGTCTTATCAAAGGTTGGAAACAGGCACCCATAAAATTTTATCCTGTTCCTTGTCAACTGCATCTTTAATTTGGGTACACATGTGTTTAATGCTAACACCCGGTATAACGGCTGTAAATGATGAATAAACATGTTTAAATAACAAGTGTTTTTGATTAGCATTTTGTTCTAAAACTCACCTGATATATACTGCTTATAATCACTTTCTAATTTGAGTGCCCGCTCGTACATTTCTTTAGCTGCCTTGGCTGAGATTTTTTCAGTGCCAAAGTCACGAATTTCCCGTATTTGTTTAGCCGATTTAAAACGTAAAAGTAAAACAATTGGATAGATCTGTAAACGCTGTAAACGTTCCACAGCTGATATGGATATATCGAGTATACAGTGACGACGATCCTTTGTATTAAAAGAAAAAATAATTGTTAAAATGTTGTTAATTTTAATACTTTTTACAATTCTTACATTCTTGCATGCATTGTTAATGGTTTCCACAGTTGTACATTCAAACTTATTGCCTCGCCTGCGATAATCAACGAATATATTTTGTTGTAGTCCCTCTTCCATGGCATCTTGGGAACAATCCATGGCAGTTACTTCACAAAATTTAAAGAGATTGGAAAAATCTATTGTCAAACGTTCCATAACACATTCCGATAGTGGTCCTATTATTAAAACAGGTCGGCGAACGGGAGCTGAAAAAATAAAATAAAATAAGATTTACATTTTTAACAATCCACTTTTTTAACCGCCTCTTTCTTGAGGTAATTATACACTGACAGTTTTTATACAAAAATCATTTTTACCGTCAGAATATCTATCAGTTAAGCTATAACCGGAGATTGAGAAAATGGTCATTTATCATCTACTTACAATATTTTTGTAATTTCTCACTTTAATGCAATTTCTACATCCGTATGGCGTCTTTATGAATTCTGCAGTAGTATTAGTAGCTATAACTACGATTGTGTGGATTTTTGTTTCGATATCTCCACAGATACCGACAATTCGAATGCTGTTGCTGTAACAGTTAAAACTATACAATAATCTAGTTGGGGGTTTCTACATGAATGTCCAAATTTGTGCCCATAAATCCATTGGACAAAGTGAAGTAGGTTTGGCTAAGCAGTTGAACTACATATTGTATCGTGGGGACCTTGACCACATGCTGGACATTCATTGAAGGACGGTACGTTCTATCCGTAACCAGTAGGATTCGCAATTAGTGCGCGATTGCAGTGGCATGAGCTGAGGAAGTAAGTAGGCTGTCGGAATTTGAGCTCCTTCGACCATGACTCAAAGGGTTAAATTTAGTTAGAGTGTTGCTGACAGTGGTGATAGTTGCAGGTTACTCGCAGTGAAGAACTCAATAACTATACAATTCGAATACAAATCTGTTGTTGAAACAGTTCAATTGTGACCGACGGACAGTAACTTTGCATGATAACTAAACTGGATAAGCGCAGTCTAGGGGCTTAATTAATGCTTTTGTCAATAAGTGGGACAGTAATATATATAAACTCCTAGTGTACAGAATCTCAGGTTGAAATGGCTAGGAAATAGGTTCCATGACGAACTGGGGTTAGTTGCAGAACTCAACATTCACAGTATATTAGATTTAAACAGCAAAATTCGACTGACTTTTATGGGCAGAATCAGAGGCTCTTATAGTTCTTTCTTTAAGGAAACTAATTCGGTAAAACTCTAGGTTTAATCCCTCGTAAATCAACCTGTTTCCATTTCTCTGTTCTATTTCTATATGTTTTTGTTTTATTAATGTTCTTTTTCTCTATTTTTGTATTTTCACTTCAATGAAGAGAATCACAATGGATAAATGCTTATCCATTTCCATAAAGAGCAGATCAATCGATCTGTGATCAAACAATTTTTCTAAGAAGCAAATAATCAATTACCCAAAAGTAAATTGATCGTTTAATTATTCAATTTTAACAAAAGATAAAATTAATTGATCAGTTTAGGAAAATCTTTTAATGAATAAATTGATCGATCTGTGATCGAATATAGACATTTTCTATAAGTCCTTTTCGCTATATGTAGTAATATATGTAAGAAAATATCCAAAGGATTGACATCATATATGATATAAAAATAATCCAAGGATCCGTAGAATAAGAAACTTATCGTTCTTATTAATTTTTTCCGTCATTTAATATCGTTTAGGTTCTTAAACAAATATTAACACCAAATAGTTTACAATTCTATACTTACAATCCAATCGTTCAACGCGTTGATAGCTCAAAATACCACCATCATCATTGAGGATGCCTGAGTCAGGAAAATAACTCAATTGTGTGTTGCTAAAACTAGCGATTTCGGTTGAATCTCTGGAAGAGCTACGTTGATGTTTTTTGCGACGAAAAAACGAACGACGGGTAGAGGTACTGCCACGACGGGCTGTGCTACCACTTTCACACTCTACCATTTCTGCTGCTCGTAGTTCTTCTTCCACTCTACAAAAAATTAAATAAAATTAAAGATATCATCAATAACATATAGCACATCTTAAAACTCACTTCATTTGTGAAGGTATGATGCCACATTCTTTGCGATAACCTTTACCATCTAATTTCCAAGCGCGCCATAGACCAAAAGTTCCATTAAAAACCGTATTATCCACATAAAGAACTTCATCTTTAACAAAACGTAAATCGCCTTCATTCAAGTCACCAGTACGATCAAACCCCACACGTATATAAAAAGAATCACCCGATTTATCTTTGATTTGCTTTAATTCTAAATATTTTAACAAAACAGAAGAAAGTAAACTCTATTAATAAATATAATTAGAGAACTAGTAACGAAGTTGAACTAACTTTTTAATTTATTTTGCACCAACATGGTTACAGTATCGGTTAATTTCGAGATCTCATTAGCAGCCTGTTCCGCCGTAACACAACGTAAATCTACACCATTATACTCTAATATTTGATCACCTTTTCGTACACCAGCACGATCAGAAGGTGATCCCGGATGAACGTCATGTACAAATATACCCACTTTATTGCCACCAAATAGTTTTATTCCCGGATTTTTTGACTTATCCATGTGGAGTGTAACATAACGCGGCTCCTCTTCGTATGGCAGCGTGGAGGTGGTCGAGGCCGTAGTTGTTGTTGTGGCATTTGATGAGGGTATATCTTGACTGCTGCTTATATCGGATTGATTTTCCAAACTATCGGCAAAACTCTGATCTTTTATGGATTTTTGAGAAATCATTGAAGAGGATTGAGGCATTATTGCACTTTGAGTCATTGAATTGGAAGAGGGTGGGGATGTTGGCATTGGCATAGGTGGCAAGGAGGCCATCATGGGACGTATGGGTGGTCGGGGAGAATTACGTGGCGTAGGTGATCCCGAATGATTGACCGGAGATTCAGGTTCTAAATTATGAGTGCCTTCATATTCAGTTGAGTGAAATTCTGTGAAAAAAAGAAAACAATAAAATCATTTAGTCTAATTTCTATTTGAAATACTCACTTTCTGGATTGTACTGCACCAACATAGTTATCGAGTTACCACATTGACGCAAGACATTAGCTGCTATATCATTTGTAGCCGAACGCATATTCAAACCGCATACTTCTAAGAGTTGATCGCCCACCTGAAGACCAGCACGAGTGGCAATACTTTTGTCGGCTACAGTTGATACAAAAATACCACCACCATTATTATTACATTGGATTGTAATACCAAGCGATTTATCGCTCTTTTCAATCGTGACTCTTCTAAGATCTCCAGGGCATAAAAAATCCGACGGCACATTCGAATTGCGTTTACTGCCGCCATGCGATAACACTTCAACATGAACCTGTGGCATGGGTGAACCACGACCACTATTCCCACCATTGGCAGCCACATTTGCCAAAGCTGTATGATGATGATGCGTCATAATACCACCACCACCGCCTACACTTGGATACCCAGCTACGGATGTTGATATTAAGCCTGAGGGATTATTACCCGAGGCATAATGATGATCAATGGAACCAGAACTATTCTTAACACCGCTATTTTTACTAGCTACACTTGGATTGGAGGGTATGCGTAAACGCTGATGATCTTTTTTGCGAGGAAAAGTACCGCCCTCATAGATGACGCCCTGTCCCGACGACGGAATACTGGGTAGAGGATGGTAGGCATTGTGGTTGGGTATATTAGGCGGGTAGTCATTTAAATAATGTGGATGTGTTTGTTGATGATGTTGGCTATGGGTAGAAGAATTCATATAGTCCATATCGAATTTGTCCACCGATGAAGTGGGTATACCAATGGACGAATCTAAGTGATGAGGATGAGCATTGGAAGTTGAACCACCGCTTCCCGGATGCAGAGGTGGTGGCGAGGGCAAAGTTAAAGGACTAGAGTGACGTATAGGTCTCATAGCCGAATGTGTGGACTGGGTAAAGGAGGGAAAGAGGGGCATGTGCCTAGATGGTGGACCATTGTTGGACGAGTGAAAGAGTCCAGCGCCGCTTGTTATGCCAGAGGCAATACTTTCGCTATCGCTGGGATATTTTGACACATTTTTCGAGGCCGAGCCGGGAGCCGATTGGGGCATGGGAATGCCACGTTTAGGATAGTTGGCAAGTACAGCATATTCGCTTATTGGCGGACTTTTAGTGGAGAGTATAGAATCTATTGAATTTTGAGATTTCATCGATATCATATCTAAAGAGTTTTGTTGCTGTTGATTCGAAGAATTTGATCGCATGAAATTCGTTGAATGAGGTGGTGGTTGGGGTGGTTGTAGAGGCACAAACAGCGCTGGATGGGGTGCGGATTTGTTGTTCGCTGACGGATTGTTATGGAACATGTCAAATAAATGTTGTTTACGCGATATTAAATCACCACCGACAATCATTTGCTGCTGCTGTGAATTATGTTGACCACCGTTATTAATAACCTGCTGCTGGGCCTGTTGTCCTGTGGTCTTATACAGCTCTGTAGGGGTGATGTTTAACGAGTAACGATTTTGATAGTTGTGATTTTGTATTCTAGGATTTCCGTATTTGTCGGTCTGCTTTGCCCTCATATTGGGGGCAGCTGCCATTATGGGATTGGGTCTCTGCAAAGGTTTCGACTGTTCCATAACCAAAGGTTCCGACTCCATGCCAGAAGGTGTGGCATAAACCGAGTGTCTCATATAATTATTAACCGTATAGTTATTGTTACCATTTCCCGGGGAAGAATTTGAATTTTGAAACAATACAGAAGCAGGTATAGGATTTGAATTTCTATTAGGATTGTGCTTGACATTAGAACCCACTACCCCATTGCGTATATGTGCTTGGGGTTTATTTTGCACGGGTGGTAGGGGAGGAGGCGGTGCCTCGTCGGAATCAACATGTTCATCATCTTTGTCTACATTAATGGGTCCTGCCGTAAACAAAGACAAAGGTGCACGTTTCTTTTCCCTCTGTACGATAGTGCCAGTGGGATTTTCTTGTGAAGCTTGCAGTATATTAGTTCTGGGCCAAGTACCCATACTTTTGGCAGCCGCTTCCTTTTCCTTCTTCTTGCTTTTATTGCGTTTAAAAAGATTTTCTTTACTTTTCTCCGAAGAATTTTCACTTAATACTGAATCCAAGGCTGCTAACGCATCATGTTCTTGGGCAAAATGATCACCATCGGAACCTGGTTTGGAAATGTGTATCTTCTCCTTAAATTTACTTAACATTTCGGCAATTTTTGAAGGATGCTTTGTGCCTGTAACGCGGTGCATCGAGTCTATTGAGTCTGTTTGTGCGGCCGACGTTGTCATTCTTCTTTGGGTTTCGGAATTAGAAGAATCCTGTACATTTTTTAAAGCAAAGATCGTTATTGATTCATTGCGATCATCGTTTAGAATGGACATAACGTCTTCTACAGATTGTATACCCTCCATGGATTTGTTATTGATCGATAGTATTCTATCACCGGCCTCCAGTTCCGGTTCAAATGCTGCCAACGAATTGGGTTCAATTTTGGAAATGAACACCCCAGTGTCTAAGTGCAATCCATGATTCGGATTTTGTTGCAAATTCAAATGCACTGTATAGAAATGTCTCTTACTCTGGCGTGTACGTGACACCAAAAGACTACAGCGTGGAGCTGTGGAGCGTATTTCATCAATTAACATGCGTTTGCTGAGACCCTGGCAGTCTAAACTATTGACTTTGACTATAACATCATTAATTTTCAATTTGCCAAATGCCGGTGAAACATTTGTAACGCCACACACCAATTGCCTTTGCTGGCTGTCATCTATGATAATGCCTATATCGCAATCTGCATGATAATTGGTCAACTCAATCTCCATTATATCCTCAGCCTCATAAGTGCTCATGCGGAAACTACGTCGTGAGGATGAATCATTGTTTTGATTCTGCTCCAGTTGCTCTTTGAGAACATCTATTTTCCTTTGAGCTTCATCTTTTTGTTTCTTTATTTTCTCACTATCCCTTATGGCTGAGAGTAAATCTGAAATGGCTTTGTCACGCTCTTTGCGCAAATTATCGCACAATGTTTTCACTGAATCTCTTTCTTGCACAATTTTCTCTCTTTGCGAAATGGCCCAATCTCTAACTCTCTTGGCTTCTTCGGTGTCTTGGGCAGCTCTTTCTACTTCAGCATGTGCTTTTTCTAAACTTTTACGCAATTTTTCGATTTCTTTGAAATCATCTTTGCTATCGGAGAATTCCTTGGACCAAGTACTTTCACGTGATTTTAGCAAGTCTCTTTTCTTTAAATCAGCTATGGATTGTTGTAAAGCTTTCAGTTCATTTTTATACATAATTTCATCTTTTTTATACTGTTCCAGCTCTTTATTGGCTGCCGCCAAATCATCGGACATTTTTTGATGTTCCTGCAATACATTGTCTTTCTCCGACAATAATTGATTTAGTTCTTCCTCAATGCGACCCTTCTGCATTGTAATCACTAACATTTTATTGGATTCTGCTGCCAATAAACTTTTCAACTTTTGATTTTCTTTTTCCATAATTTCACGCTGCAATTGGAATTGTTCCCGTTGCATATTGAATTGATCGCGTGCATCACAAAAGAATTTTCTCTCCTTATCGAAATCCATTAAAGCAGCATTATAATTCTTTTTATACTTTTCCTTCTCCTTCATCAAATCATTATTTCTCTCCGTGCTGAGGATAAGCTCTTCCTTGAGTTGATCATTTTTCGGACAAGTGCCATCACATTTGCCCCCCGCCGTTCCATTTCCCCCAGGACCACCCCTACAGCCGCCATCATTATAATCACAATAATATGAATTGGCATTTCTCTCCGCTTGCGGATTAGCACTCTCATTTTCCAAACGCATTAATTTACGTTCCAACATTGAATTCTGTTGTTTCAATCGTACATTCTCCGCAGCCACATCAGTTAGTTTGTTGCGTTCGGAACTTTTTATTTGATTCATAGCTGCATTATATTGCTCTTGATAAAATGCCAATTGATTTTCTAGATTATCACATTTTCGCACCGTATCAGCATGTTGATGCCGCAGTGTTTTCAGTTCCATTAGTGCGGAATCATATTGTATTTTAATGGTGTCATATATTTTTGGATTACCAGATCCAACACCACCACTACTGTTGCCATTATTAGCATTATTATTCATGCTGCCTGCTGTTGTACTGCCACTAGAGTTCGACGGTGGCCGTAGTGTACGATCATAATCGGCATATTCAGGACTTTCTTCTGGAAAACGTAAGAATGTTAATTAATCAAGTGAATCTATATTATAGAACGAATAAATTCATTTACAAGACTAATTTAATACGAAGATTGTTTTTCCATACTACACAATTCCCTTACTGTCAAATATTATTAACAATTTAGTTAATTTATTCAAAATAATAAACAATCTACTATTCTCTACCACAAAATCGTTAACCTACTTTATAACCCGCTATACATATGTATGTATGTATGTGTTCATCATAAAAAACATTACTTACCTTCTTGACTACTAGTACTGGTTAAAGAGAGATCTCCTGAAGCCATTTTAGCCATCACATCATTTATTTTATATTAACAATCTACTCGAACAAAGAAATCTGTAAAAACAAAAATAAGTGACATAATCAAATGTAATTAGAAATTATTATTAAAACTTCTGTTGAATTGTATAATTGAATTAGATAAATTTGAAAAGTATAAAATGCAAGAACATTGAAAGATATGATAAGGAAGCAATGGCCTAAATAATGAAACAACAACAGAAATACATAATAGTATACGTAGTAAGTATAACAGTGTTGAAGAACATTATAGTGATTGTGGAAGTGAGAGTTGATATTTAAATAAAAATGAAAAAATAAATTTTTTTGGGAAGTAAATCTGGCATTTCAAAACTTCTGGTCTGATCGGGACATAACTTGATTGGGGCATTCGTAGTTTAAGTTTGAAAATTTTAAATCTTGAAATTTTTTATCCCCAACCATAATGGAAACCATAATTCCGCGAAGAACTATATACCGATAATTGATCAAAAAATAACCAACTAAAAGGTAATAATAAATAAATAAATAAATAAATAAATAAATAAATAAATAAATAAATAAATATTTTTAATGTTTTTGAAGCGTACTACTGTTTTAAAGATACAAATTTTAAGCTTTTGTATTTATACCCTACACCACCATAGTGGAGAAGGTATTATACGTTTGCACTGATATTTGTAACACCCAAAAATATTGGTCTTACACCCACCTTGAAGTATTCCAATCGACTTAGAATCATTTTCCGAGTCGATTTATATATGTCTGTCCGTCTGTCCGCCTGTGTGGTCATGTAAGCCTTGTACGCAGGCTACAGCTCGCAATTTTGAAAATAATTTGATGAAATTTAGTTCATACTCTTCGACCCAAGAACAAATCCTATTGAAAATGGTTGAAATAGGTTATTTTTCGTTTTTTTTTTAAGTTTTTTGTTTATATTTGCACAATTTAACTCGTTTTAGTTATTAAAATTGATAAATTGTCAAAATTAGCTAACGTATTCGCGCGCCGCTTATGACGCTTTCAAAAGTAGAAAGTAGCATTCTACGCGTCAAGGCATCATACGCTTTTGTGCTTGTAACTTCTAGCACACAACAACATTGATTCTACTTTTTTGACAGCCGTGTAGAACGCAAAGAAGCGTAAAACGTGTGGTGTGGACCTCCAGCTTGACGATTGAAAAGCTGTTACAAGCACAGGAATTTTCTCCGATCAGCTTGGTCTTCACCAAATGCAAGCAATATTTCTATACTGTAAAGTATGCCAACAAAACGACCGCGAGAAACAGTCTTACATATCTATATATATATAAAAGAGTAGCGTTACTGACTGACTGATTCATCATCGCACAGCCCAAACGGCTGAACCTAGAATCATGAAATTTTGACAGTAGATGTGTTTTTGATTATGGAAATTGGAAATTTGTACATTTACGGATAAAAAGGGGAAAAAACGGGTAAAACAGGTTTTCTTAATTATCTTACACAATATTAGTGATACAAGAAAAATTTTAAATGCACCTGTATCTACTCTTAAAATGAGCAGATGGGTGTCTGGTACTTTTTTCGAATTCGTACTTTTAAGGGGCAAAAATGAGTAACAAAGGTGATTTTATTACTTTTTTTGGCCCTTTATAACTTTTGAACTAATTAACACAATACAATTTTTATGAAAATTTTGGATACATCTCCCAAAATTATGAGACACCTATTTCGTACTTTTTTAAAATTCAGTCCTTTATGGGTGTAAAAGGGAGAAAACTGTATTTATGGTACTTTTTTTAGCACATTAAGAAAACTTTTTCGGTTTATTGAATTATTCCTATTAAATTACGGACTAACTCTGTAATATTTATTGTAATAAAATTTTTTCTATATCACTGGGGAAAAAAGTACCAAAAGGGAAAAAACGGGAAATTTAATTTTATTCAAACCCATTGAGCCAATTTTTATAAAATTTGAAAAAGTAGTTTATTTACTCAAAATAAGCTTTTGGTATATTATTTTGGAATTCGAGTACTAAGGCCTATATAGGAACAAATTCGAGTAAATTGTTTGGTACTTTCTGAAAGCACTATTTTTCTGGAACAAATGAATGCAGATTTGAATCGTTTGAGTTTTATCTGTGATATATAGATTTAAATACGGAACATTTTGTAAACTTAATTCTCGAAAAAGTATATTTCTAAGCGAAAAGGGGAAAAATTGTATTCTTTATTAGTACTTTCCACTTAGGTAAAATTTATTCCACTTTTGGTACTTTTTCTTTTTTCAAATAATACTCTTTGTATGTTTTTTAATACGAATTCAAAACATATGATTATTAAATATACACGGTCTTCATTGAATAAGATTCTTTAAGAGAGAACTTTTTAGTATTTTTTATCTCATAAATGGTACTTTTTTAATTTTCTAAAATATTCAACCAAGGAACATTAATTTTAACATACATGGTCTTGATTGAATAATATTCTGTAAGAGGGAACTATTTGGTACCTTTTAGATTTTTTATAATTGTTAACCGGAACACATTGAGAGATTTTTGTACTTTTTCGTTTTTCCGATGGTACTTTTTGATATTTTTACGATATTGAACATAGATATTGAAAATAAAATTTAAGATGTAGGGACCTTAGTAAATGAGAATATACTGAAAGTGACTTTTGGTACTTTTTCATTCATTAAAATTATATATTTTGAATTTATGTTTATTCTAGGGAAAAATTAAATTGTCAACAAATTCGCAGATAACAAATAGACCTGCCACGAAGATTATCCTCAAAAAATATATTAATTTTCCGCTGTCTGCCACCACTCTCCATGAGCGCAGACTGTGATAATCTCAAAACAATCTCAAGAATGTGTTACTAACGAGTATTTTAAAGAATAAACGGATATTCAAACAAAAAGGTGACAATAGTTATGATTTTATTGTATGAAGCTAATTTAAGCTCAAGTAAAATAAGATCTACATGACACATTTTGTGAAAATGATCCAAAAAACCTAACATAGCCAGATTACTGCACGTTGTACGATATCCTCTTTGGCATAGCTTTAGTTTAATTTAAAAATAATTTTCATTAAAAGTGTAAAGAGTTCCTGGAGCAACTAGGTATAATTAGGGCCATAAACTACCAAGAAAAGAACCTGTTACATAAAATTATATAGACAAACAGCCCAATACAATACTATTATAGACGACTAATATTCGAGTATATTTTATTTATGTTTTTTTTAAAATATATTAGAAATATGTATATGTAAAAATGAGATCAGAACCACTTTACCTTTTTATACGATAATTTTTAATAAAACATATTTTGTAATATTCACACTTTTTGTGCCATCTCTGAAGTAAATCAATTCTAATAACAACTTAGCTACAATTCAATTCATTTGATAATTAACTCTTTTCCATATAAATAAGATAGAAATAATAAACATCAATTAATAATTAACCATATTTTATATATTATTTATTGGCAGTGTTTTAAAATAAAAACTAAACACTCGCACATACAACAGATCAACCAAGTATTATAACAAGGTCATCATTCAAAGTTTTAAATTACTTGTTTCAGCTGTTTTTAGAGTTTTTAAATGTAGACGATGTTTTTTATTTATAAAATATAAAATATAAAATATATTATTTATTTTACTGCATTATTTATTTAAACATTTACATTCAAAGGTCTCCAAAACTAAATATCTGCAAAGGGAAAATCCCAAAAAATTAATACAAAAATTGTTTATCTGTATATATATTTAATATTATAATTATTTATTTGTTAGTTTGTTTTGTTTTCTAAATCCGGGTGACTTAGTTTTGTAAAAAAAAAAAAACGTTAAACCATAATAGCAAACAATTATTACTAACATTTCTTATTTTGTTAAAGAAATAAAAATCAAATCATGTTTAAAAATAGAAGAAATAAAACATATAAAGTAAAAAATAATTAAATAAAGCTATGCGTAGCATTAGTTAAAGTTTATTTTAAACATCACTGAACAAACTAATTGTTAGTAATTATAAATATGTTTATACCCTACACCACTTTAGTGGGGAGGGTATATTGGATTTGTGCTGATGTTTGTAACATACAAAAATATTCGTCCTAGACCCACCTTAAAGTATACCAATCGACTTAGAATCGTTTTCTGAGTCGATTAAGCTATGTCCGTCCGTCCGTCCGTCTGGCAGGCTGGCTGTCCATGTAAACCTTGTGCGCAAGGTACAGGTCGCAATTTTCAAGATAATTGGATGAAATTTGGCACGCACGTTTTATTTGACCCAAGGACGAAGCCTATTAAAAATGGTTAAAATCGGTCCATTATTTCACCTAGCCCCCATAGAACAGAACCCCCCGAAAAGGGCTTTTGAGCTCATAATTTTGTTAAATTTACAGATATATCGATAAAATGCGGCACAACTAAGTTTTATAGAAGTCTGGATGACCCTGCCAAATTTCATAAAGATCGGGCCACATTTGACTCTAGCTCCCATACAAAGTCCCCTTCAGAAAATTACTTGAATGTCCCAAATTAACTTATAAACACAAATATCGCGATGAAATTTAGCACAATAAAATATTATGTAAATACAAATATATTCACAAAATTTTATCGGGCTTGGTCCATATTTGCCCCTAGCCCCCATATAAAGCCTCTTTCAGAAAATTAGTTTTTCATCCATAAATTGCTTAAATGTATCGGAACAAGGGAATATTGAAGATAAATGCTTTATTATGAAAAATAAATCACATTTAATATTCATAACTGGTGTAGGGTATCATATGGTCGGCCACGCCCGACTATACTTTCTTACTTGTTTTTTATTTTGTTTCTTACTTAATTTTTTGTTTTGTTTGTATATAAAAAATATAAAAAAAATATGTTTTTATACTATTGCAATATTTGCGTTAGTTGGGTGAACAGAAATTATCAAAGCAAACTGTATTAATTAAGTTTGAGTATTGAAACAAATATGAATGTATTAATTTGCAAATACCCTACAACTGAAGTATTCACTATTGTTTGTTTTTAACGATCCCTTGAGG